GTCCAACTTCATAAACCTTTTCTGCGTTAGATCTTCAAAAATCATGTAATCACAATTCTTGAGAGCTGCCTTAGCACCAAATACTTGATTACGCTTCAAATTCCGGGTAAAATTCACTAGTATCACTCGAGGTTTCGCAGTCACCTCATCTGGACTATATTTACCGATGCGGACTGCACTATCGATATCAGAGATAGAACAGTTAATATTCAATTTTGAATTGATAAATTCAACTACTAAGGATGCCGTATTTTCGTTATCTTTCTCTAAAAGACCGAGGAAGCGGAGAGAATTTCTCTTGGTGAACTGCTCGATTTCGTCATCACGACAATCCAGTGATTTAATAGCAATTGAATTGCATCAACATCAGTATTTAATAACTTGAAATTGTTATTATCTTGCTTGCTTGTTGGTCTTCCAATCTGTCGAATCTGGCGTCGAAATCAGCCCTAATCTGGGCCACAAAGAGTGCACAGACTTTGTTGATCAGTTTTTCGTTGGTATCCTCAGAAAGTGATCCACTGCGAAGTTTCTTACCAGTCATGGTACTGCCGTAGTTCAAGTCGACAACACTGGACGTTGGAATGCTATTTTATCGCCGAATACGACTATATTGAGCAGAACAGCATTCAATAATAGTTACAGCTATTTAGTGGTAAGAATCAAGTTTTCACTTTCCAAAATCACAGACAATAACGAGGACACTACTACCCTACGGTAACAGTAGTTTGAAACATTTATTTCACATATAATCACCAATAATTTTTTAAATTTTGCTGGAGCAAAAAATCACACTTACTTCAACATTGAACGCAACGTTGCCAATTCCAAGATATATAATATACCAAAATTTAGTTAAATTTCGCGTTCAACCAAAATCCCATAAGAAGTGTGCGGGGTCCTTTTGTACAATACTACTCAAAATAATGTACTTAGCCAGAGTAATTACTTATCAAAACAATGAGCATTTTATCTAAATTCATTTAATTAGATAGAAACCAAAATATCTAACTAAACATTTACTAGAAGGAAAGGAACAATAATAGTCAATTTGATTATCCATACTCTTCAGTAATAGTATATTATATACCTAGGTAGAGAAGTTGGTCATTATATATACCGAGCGCTTTTATAAACCGAGGCGCAAAGCGCCGAGGTTTATAATGCGTGAGGTATATAATGACTTTCTCTACCGAGGAATATATAGAATTTTTTTTACTACTGCTAGTAGAAAATAAAAAATTTGCTTAAAATCTGTGCTCTAATTATTTTTTTTTGAACGCCCTCTTGAAAGTGCTGCCCTCTATCAACAGCTTATGATAACTTCCTATGTACCTACAGAAACCTGTATTTTGTTTTAAATTGACGCATGAAATTGAAATTGGACCAATAGAAACATGACAATATCCTTGCGTCATGACGTCATTTTCATTATTGACCTAGGGACTTTTTCATTATTTTCATTATTCACCTAGGGAGAGAAATTCAATTTTTTCCTAGAAAAATAGATTGAATAATGACTATTTCTCAGGTAAGTAGTAAAAAAAATTCATTTCAATTAAGAGTCATTTGAATTAAATTTCTCTTTTACTAAGCACAAAAAATATTCAAAATCATTTCACTCAAGATAATAATATAATATATGCAATAATGTTCCATAGTCAATTCAATTGCTTCATAGTCTTTTGATAAAGTCAAATAAAACATGTCACTAGAGTACTTACATTTCGTCCTTGAAACACTAAACTAATCTAAAATAATTCTTTTGATTATTTAGAGCTCGCACATATTACAGGTATTCTTTCGATTTGAACAAGCTGACTGTAATCACATCAGGTTTGTTTATGAGGCGTCAAAAAAACAGTTGGAGACAATGAAATCGTAATAAAACCAGATGACAATTATTTAAAACAAACCTCAAGTGATTTCGATCAGTTTGTTCAGATCGAAAGAATACCTGGAATGTTGAACGAATTTAAATGTTCTTTCTTTCAACCTTTTTCAAAGATTCGATTTAGCGCGTTTTCCCGAGGCAAAAAAATAAAAGAAACACTCACGAATTTTATCCGGACTGACTCATTAATATTACTGTAGACTCAAGACTGCATTGAATACTCAAATCTCTAAGCTGAAATCATCTGGAGACTGCCTTTGAACTTCTAAAACCGCTGTTTTTATATTTCTCATTCCCCTCATTCATTAACCTTCGCCTTTTCTAAGAAATAATATAATTATTTATTTAAAGCCGAATATGTCGCAATTTCCTGGATTATCGGGGTCAACAGATTTTTTATAAGAATTTGAGGACGAATAACTCAAAGGATGCCGAAAACTCGTGTCGGCATAAATCATTAAATCTGTCATAGTCACCGATTTAATTACTTAAGCCTCGCTTTCCATATTTTTTTTTATGGATTTTTTTCTGCAGTTGCAAGGACCTCGCGCTTCCGTAGCCCTGGCTTGCCATTTATCTATTACATATTTCAATTTGAACTTAGAAAAATATTTTAAATAAATATTTTAAATAATTTGTATCAATGCTAAATTCAGAAAATTGGAACTTTAGATTATTTGATTCAATTTACATTATTTGACTACATTTAAATTTACTGTTATTGTATTTTAAGTCCTTGTAAATTACGGGTGTAATTTTCCCGGGTCATTTCAACTTGATATCAAGTACCTTCCTCAATGACATAGTGAGCTTTTCCAGACATGTCTCACTGGTAGTACTTCCTGTGGAACGGCGATTTCTACGAGCAACTGGACGGTGTAGCTATGGGAAGTCCGCTCAGCCCGGTCATAGCCAATTTTTTTATGGAGGATGTCGAGAGGAAACCTATCGGTTCTTTTGACCACAAACCAACGGTATGGCTTCGATATGTAGATGATACGTTTGAGCTTTGGAGTCATAGAGAAGAGGAGCCTAACCAGTTCCCAGGCCACCTGAACGCGCAACTTCCTAGCATACAATTTACCATGGAAAAGGAGAAAAACCAAAAAATCGCCTTCTTAGATGTACTCATAAAGAAATCTAGAGGAAAACTAAGCCACACAGTGTACCGAAAACCTACACACACAGACAGGTACCTGCATGCACTCTCAAACCACCATCCAAGGCAAAAACGTGGAATTATAACAACGTTAATAGAACGTACTCGGAACATCTGCGAGCCACAACACCTCGAGCAAGAACTGGATCATCTCAAGTCGGCCTTTTTATCAAATGGATACAATGCATCTGGAGTCGACAGGGCCATGCGACCCTAAACAGACACACGACAAAACGTGGATGAACAACTAGTGGTGGCTAATGCATATCTGCCTTTCATTTCTCGGGTGACAGACAGGATAGGAAAAGTCTTGAGGATACACAACATAAAAACGATCTTCAAGCCAACAAGGAAAATACAGCAATCAGATCAGCCAAGGAACCCCCTGACAAGCGCTGGAGTCTATCATATATCATGCACATGTGGTAAAGTATACATATACCATGCACATGTGGTAAAGTACACCAGGATCAACGAGCACAAAAGAAACTTCAGACTAGGACAATCAGAAAAATCGGAAAAATCGGTAGTAACGGAACATGCGCTTAGAGAAGGGAATCACGAAATACTATTTGGTGAGGTCAAGCTTCTTACACCGACTTCCGGATACCACAATCGTCTTGTACGTGAAGCTATAGAAATTCACAAACATAAGAACTTCAACACGAAAGAAGAAACACTAAAACTCAACCAAATGTGGAACCCGATAATCAAAAACGCAAGAAAGATCCCATTGAGTACAGAGAAAGATCAGACCAGCCACTTGCTGCAGAGCCCCGCCCCTCCCCCACCACTACCACGCACACATAAATACAACTTGCGGTCGGGAACGCGTCAGTCTGCTACTAGAATCGGATATGGAAACACCTCTGAAGATGCTAGCGAAACGTCAGGAGAAGTTCCCAACTTACGACGGCCATTAAGCCCGAATGAAAACACTTAATCAATAAACCTGTCGCGAAAGTCTCACAAACTTTACTATCTTGAATGTTTAAATTATTAACTGTTTTTTTGTTTTGCAATGCATAGCGCACGCAGCAAATAATTCAAATCTTAACAAACCATTTTAGACTTTGAGATAGGGGCTTTTTAGTGGAGTCATTTTTTTTTGTCTGGCATTTTGAGGGCTGAATGTGGCTACTAAGCTGATGAGAATATGGGTGATTTTAATGCTGGCCTCCCGTTCGAAAATTTGCAGAAGAAAAAAATTGATTTACATGAAGAATTTTTTTTTTATGATCTCAAATTTTCTAGCTTTTAACTAAAAGATTGACATTGATAAATAATTCACCCATGAAAAATATCAGATGCTTTTCAATAGCTGAAAAAATGGGGATGGGTGTCAACTTCCAAGAGAAAAGAAAAGAACCTTCCGCGTTTACTTTTTGTCTGGCAATCGAGAGAATGAAAGGTTTTGTTGTGAAAATAACGCTGAAAAATCACCAGACGGTAATCACAGTTCGAAATCGAGTTTTCCGGCGAAACATTCTGTGGACATTTCGAACAGGAGGCAGGCATTAAAACCACTTATATTCTCATCAGCTAACTAGTCAAATTCATCCCTCAAAATGCCAGACAAAAAAAAATTACTCCACTAAACAGGCCCTATCTCAGGGTCTATTTCTTTACCCTGTGCTTCTTCCACAATTCAGGTGGATTCGATTCACATTTATTGGTTTTTCATAGGAGTTGGGTAACTATACGAACATCGGAGGTGTAAGGGCCTCGCTGGTATCAACATAGAATTTACCTCTCACATAGATTCTTCAAATCCGTTATAGATCAGTTATTATAGAGTCGATTTTCTTCTATGGGTACCTAACTTTTTGGACTATAATTTATTGAGACATTTTCATTCAAGGACATATCCGATTGTCCTGTATTATTCAACTACCGTGAAGCTATCCAAATAAATTATATTATCCACTATTCAAACATTTTTTCCAGGCTTAATAAACTGTTATGGTCGTAAACTGGTCTTAACCGATGCTGACGCATTTACCCGAGAATACTACGCAACCAAATATGGTATAAGCGAGTTTGCTCCCATATCACCACCGGCAAGTAACCAAAAAACCGTATACATTGCGAGACCCAAGGAACGAGAGCTACCACCTTGGAATGGTTTCGGTTCTTACGAAGACTCTGCTCAAAATTGCATTACAGTAGAGCCGAAAGCACCACTTAGGGACTTCAAGAAGTTTCTACTATACGATAGGTATTTTTTTCGTAATTTTGGTATTATCACTTCATGGTGATATGTAGAAAGATTTTTATTGAATACAGAGAACTATATTTGGAAGGTGTTTTTTTTTTTATTTTTTAAATTTTTTAACAATATTTTTCTCAGAGCAGTTGATATTTAGGCAGTGTAAACATAATTGTTGTAGGATCGGTCTAGACAGTCACATACTGCGCTTCAAAGCAAAAATGATATCAAAAGTTCCAGAAAATTGTTCAAGAAAATTCATCATCAGCTTCTACCTCACCGACGATACTCTGGCCGTTTTTGAAATCGGTCAAACCAACTCGGGATTCACTACCTCAACATTTTCCAAAAGAGCCTCAGTTCAATTGGCAGGCCAGAAAATATTTGCAAGTAAACCGCCATTGTGCTACACGCCGTTGCACATGTTTATTGGTGCTACGTTAAGCATTAACGGGTTTACGTTTGTGCTGACTGACGCTGATGAGTACGCTTTGAGGTATATGGAGATTAATTGTGGACAAGTTAGTAAGATTATTTCTGTAGGTTAAATTGATAAGTGATAGCCTAAAGATAGTTTCGAGGTTTATTGGCCATTAATGTGCAGGTCCGCATATGAATACATATTTATGAAATTTTAGTTTCCGAAAGCTAATCTCAAGAAAATTATGCAGAATGTTAGAGAGAAATTGAGGCCGATCTATAAGGACTTTGTTGCGGAAAATATTCCCAAGGAGAATGCTGTTATGTCTTATTCACAGTTACGGTAAAGACTCCTAACCCCCATCAGTGTTAAACGTGTTAAAAAAAAAATAGTCTTTATAAAGTCAGTTGAAACAAGGTGAAGATAAATAACGACTGGTGACTGACTGACACTGGTGGGTGATTGAATATTTCCATAAGAAATGCACTGCCACTGGTCAGCCACCACCAGTTGCAATTTATTTTTACCTTGTTTCAACTGACTTTAAAAAGACTATACTTATATCAAGTTAAACTGAACTTTAGTATTATTTAAATTTTAAACTTATTCTTTGTCTTTCAAGAAACAAATTATGCAAAATCATGGGTGAAGAATTCACTGAACACGAAATGATAACAATTGCTAGAGCCTTCTCTGCAAGCTGTTACAATCCCACATATGACCGAGCAAAAATAAGGTAAGCTTGAATCTTGTTACCAAACACTTTGCTTTGTAAAGTTTTTGTTGCAGGGCTATTGCTTTAACTGAATTAAAACGCTTTCTATGGGACGACTTGGATAGGCTTCGTGAATATTTTATACACACCGACGATTCAAAAACGGGCAAATTAACCAAAAAGGAATGTTACACTGTTCTGAAAGGAGCAAGATTGCCGTTTGATAATGAATTAGTTGAAAAAATACTTGATGTGTAAGTAGAGTTTTTGATGAGGAAACATTTGGTTCGATGTCTGATTTTAGAATTGAAAAAGATGACGAATGCAAATTATCCTACGAAGATATTTTGCAGTTTTTGGACAGGAACATTTGTGCGCCTCCAGATGAGCCTCCAAGTAATATAAAGGTGAAAAGAGCAAAGGGTGTTATATTCTACTAAAAAAAAAATAATGTATTTTAGAATGAGTTATGGTGGAGCTCAGAGCAACAACCCGAAGCTGGAAAACTAATCGATTGGTGCGAATTCAACAAATATCTCGATTTGGAGTCAACTTTTCGGGAACCTGTGGAACATCATTCCCATTCAATTGAGGCTGTAGAAAACTCATAATAAATTTATTTAATGTACATTTTTTTGATTATACATTGAAGCTAACTAAATAATGCCTTTATACATGGAGAAATCAACACTTTTGGTCTTTTCTGGCAGCTTTCATAGGGTCCGCTTTTATGATACCATCCATTTCAGGTTTGCCTTTACTTCTCCAACCAGCTACAAACATTCGTAGTCTTGCAATAGCCTGTCCTGGCTTCAAGCGCTGTGGAAAGATAAAAAAAAGTAATCAACTTTCAAGTTACTGATGCGCACAAGTTTAGAAGTAGTGAAGCTATTTCGGCAACCGATTTTCTTCCCAACGACTTATTTTTTGTATCTTTAGCCTTAATACTTCTAAAGCATGAAACGTTTTTCATAGCAATTCCGAAATGTACTTTTATTCCTTCAGTAAAAGCTTGATTTTTCAATAGAAACAATTTAAACAGGGTGTCCCACAAGGTTCTACACAGGTGATAACTTTGGAACGCGTCACTGTGTAATTTTTTATAATTTTTTTTAACAAAGACATCAAATATAACATTGCCTATTTTATAATTGAAGTGTGTTAAATTTTCGTGGCATGGAGACGCTTCAATAAAAATTGATGAAAAATTTTCTTGCCTCGACTAAGATTTGAACCCAGGACCCTCGCATTTCCAGTGCAACGATCTACCAACTGAGCTACCGAGACCTGATCCATTTCTACCTTGTTGGTCAAGTCTTTCATCAATTTCAAGTAGTTAGTTGTGAAGACCAACGGCAACCTTCAGCGGTTATCGTTGGTAGGGGAGTGAGTTAGAAGGTATAAGGAGAACACAATCGCAATCAATGGCTGTTTTGGAATCCATTTTTTCTTCAATCACGGATGCGTCGTTGACATACCGGGTGCCCACGAGATCACTTTCCGGCAGCCATTTTTTTATTTGTCTATCAATATCAATGAAACTTGTTAGGGTTGATATCCTAACTAAACGCCATTTTTATGCATTTATGACAAGTTTTCCTGACTTCCGGTTTCACCGGAAATCACCGGAACTTTTGATTGGCACACACTGTATATTTTTTGTTTTTCGGATTTTACACATCGTTTTACGTCCTAATGCACCCCTTTTGAATCGAGTTTTTTGTTTTTAAATTAAATTTTATTTTTTTAACTAGAGTGCCATGATCATCCTAAAATGACTACATACTTTACTCAATTTCAGAAAAATCAATTTTATCTTTGTAATCTTTTTTGATAGAGGGCTGTAAACTTCATTATTTTAGTATTTTTGCCCTAGCTCAAAAACTAGAATAGAAACAAATCACTTTCATAACAGTACTAAATGCAGTATTTCAAAGCGAATCCAACGATATAATACACTACGACATTTTTCTTAATTTTCGTTCAAATATTTTTATTTTTAACCACATATGAAATGTTGTCATTACTGACTTTTCAAAAATTTGAAAATGTCACATTTCTGTCTTTTCATTTTCCTGCTCCATTACCTGTCCTAGGACGGGAAGTGAGGACGGGAAATTTTTTCCGTCCTCATTTCCCGTCCACGGACGGAAAATGGAGCAGAGAAATATTTCCCGTTCTCATTTTCCTCTTCATTTGCCGACCTCATTTGGTTGCCCCGAATTTATTTTTTTTCAAGAAATTATGGTTAAAAATAAAATAGTATACAACCCTCGACGGGAAACTTCATTGCTGTCTCGAGGTTCAGTTTATCTCGACGCTACGCGTCTCGATAAACTATAAAACCTCTCGACCAGTAATGAAGCATTTCCCGTCTCGGATTGTAATATACTATTGTTTTATTATGTAGGTAGTTTAATTTTTTTTCTACTTAAAATTTAATTTGAAAACGAAATTTGGACAAAACTCGATTTAAAAGTGGTACATTATGTCGTAAAACGAGCTTTAGAATCCAAAAAACACAAAATATAATAGTATATTGTGTGTTTAGGTGGAAAAGTGCTGCAGTTCCCCACGACCGCGTGACCTCGTATCGTCCGCGCTGGTAGAGTGGATACGACGCGCGATCGTCGCCGTACCCACACTGCTTGCGCACGACTGTCGAAGCCGGTATCAGGATTTTTGGCTATAAATATAGCCGCGCTGCAAGAGAACAGGCATTCTGTATTCTGTTTCAGATTCCGCTTCCGACTCCAGCTCCGACCAGACCAGCCGCCAGCCAAGTTACGCCGACGTCACCGCTCCGTTCTCCGCCGCCGCGACGCCGTCAACGATGGTAGAGGGTAAAGTAGAGTGAGAGGGCAGGTATTCTAAGGGGTATAAAGATCATAGATTGTATAGTGTGCTGCCAGACTGATTACGGGGCTCCCTATCCTTTCCATGACGAGGTAAGGGGGTGTCTGGCTGGACCGATTACGGGGTATCTCCTTTGTTTCTATCCTTATATTTCTGACACTTCTTTCTTCTTTCATTGGCATATTTATTGGTGACATGGATTGCACGGGGTTGCTGCTGGACCGATTACGGGGCGCTCTAATCTTTTCATGACGAGCTAAGAGAGGCTTGACCAATTACGGGGTATCTCTCTTGGTTCCATTCCAATACTTATGTCATGTTCTGGACTGCGGATTGAATGGCGTTACGGCTTTATTCTCTCCGTAGAATATTGGTGGGGACGTCTCCGACCGAACCGATACCGAGTGATCGCACCCCTCTAATTATGTCCTCTTTTCTTCGAACCTGCACTCTACTCAGTTGCATAGTTCGCGCGTGCGCCTGGAATACGAGCTGAAGGTGGTAAGAGTGCGGCAGCCCAGCAACAATAATTCCTTGGAGCTATTTACCGATACCGTTATTTTTCCGCGATCTTATTACCACGATTCTCCGCCTCGTACATAGTATTTACACATTATTCTCGCCGACTTGGTTCACTCTCCCCGCTCTTCGTCTCTCATTTAATTGCATTTTTACTGTTCCTTTTATCTTATGTTATTGGGCAAATAAAAACTTTAAATTGTAAGTTGGATTCTGTTTCATTTTGAGGATGCGCATATTGACCTCTGGTTTTCCGTCTCCACTGTTTAAAAGCTACGTAGTGCACGTGGGCCCTTAACCACTATAATCCTAAGGGTGGCGCCCGAGTTTTCCGAAAACCCCGAACCGACCGCTTTCTCACCGGAAAACCAAAGTAGCGCTACAAAATTGACGCCCGAGCAGGGACCGTTCTGCACATGTCAATGACGTCAGCTTATGACCGAGGTGATTACATCATCATCAGTCCCCGTTTCCACCGAGAGGCCGTTTGTTTTGCTGACGCCCGTAGGTCTAACCGTTACCATACCGTTTTTTTTTATGTGAATGCCAGACCGCATAGCGCCAGAATGAATGAACCGCTCCTATTGGACCGTTCAGCGCATGTCTTATCATCCGCCACATGAGTTGAGGGTCTCAACCAATGCCGTTCGACCGTGGAAGAGAGTTCCTGTAAACCGCACCGCATTGGATCGGGGATCTCTATTTTTGGGAAGTATTGGTATGCGCATGCGCTTACCAATACTTCCCAAAAATTTGAGCTACCGCTTATTTTCTTGTAATCCGAGGTCGCTGATTTCATTTTTCCTTCTTAAAACTTTCCCCATTGATGGGATTTCACAGAAACCGGCTTCTCCGTTAACATTTTCACGGCAATTTTCGCTGCACGTGTGAGAATTGTGTCATACCATCTTTCCGACTAAATCAAGGCTTCACCAGCACCGACTACCATGGCAGGATTCAACTTTCCGACCAGTTCCGGCATGTATATGACACAGGCAAATAGTACGGCTGCCCCTATTCCGACCAGTACTGCTAATACTGGGGCACCAGGTACAACTTAGGTGTTCAATCCTCCGATACCGACTATAACCATTCACCAACCGCTGCCTTCTCCAGTCGCATCTGGGTCTCCAGGAATGGCACTGAAAGTACATAAATGGAATATCCATTTTAATGGACGAACCGATCCGGTGACATTCATAGAGAGATTACAGGAAATTTGTGCCTCCCAGGGGATACTGATTGACCGATTACTGCCGCATATCCCAGAACTTTTACAGGGTGACGCATCCCTATGGTACCGAAATAACCGAGCTCACTGGAATACCTGGGACTAATTTCTGACGGACTTTCGTAGCTTTTATTTTCCGATCAACTATGCCGCCGACTTGGAGATTGAAATTAGCCGCCGGCTCCAACAGCCAAACGAGCCAACCCACCGGTATATTACAGACTTGCAAACCAGTGGCGGCTCGTGGTGTCCAAGTAAGGGTGGGCGACAAAAATAAAAAACAGCAGTAGGTGAATTTTTTTAAAATTTTTAAGGTCGCGGCCTTTTCAAATATTGTATTAAAAGCATTTTTTATTTTTGCATTCTTTCTCCAGGGTGGCGGTGCCCATTTTGCCCATATGGGCGAACCGCCACTGTTGCAAACCCTTATCAGAAGGCATGAAAGCATAACTCCAGATCAGGAGCTTCAGTGGTTGTATAGAAACCTTTTACCTGAATACAGACAACATATTCGGAAGGGCGACATTACCGATGTAGTTTCATTTTTCCGCACCCTAAGGGAAATCGAAAGCCTATTGTCCGAACTGAAGGCAACCCCGTCAACATCTAGAAGTACCCACCGTCCACCGGCCGGCATTTCTGTTACCCAAAACCCGTCTACAAACCCAGCACCAGCGAGAGGCTGGCAACAGAATCGGAGAACCGAACGGCCGAAAAGATCCGGATCGTTCCAGCGGAATTCTAGACCAGACAATCGGTCCGAATCAATGATTTGCTGGAATTGTGGAGAAACTGGACACTTCAGAACAGAATGCCAGGTTACTGCAAAATTATTCTGCTCTCGTTGCAGAAAATCGGGTATAATATCCCGAGACTGCCCATGTGACCGTTCCCGTTCGGGAAACTAAAAAGGTGCTCTCTAAGTCCGAGGTCAGCCCAGCACCGTAACCAGATAACCTCGAATAGACATCCATATTTTCCGATAGGTGTGAACCCGATTCGTCTACCAGATTCCCGACCGTATGTATGCATTCACATCGAAGAGGCCCCGTTCTTAGCTTTAATCGATACCGGTGCCGCCAACTCGTATATAGGGGACCTCGCTGCCTGCAGATATCTGCCGTCTCAGTGATTATTCCGAAGTACAACCTGAGGTCCGAAGTGCCAAAGTGGCCAATGGAGGTGTAATCGATATTTATAAAGCTTACCAAAT